GACTACTGATTAACGCATGCTAATGTTGCTTGACAAATAAGGATCAAGGCGTAACAAGGTGTTAAATATTTATATAGAATTTCTTGTTATTAGATTTGTATATTTCTAATGATCGCTATCCCAATAATGTTACCTGAATATCCTTCCTGAACGTTTTGCAGAAACAAACTCGCACATTTTCCATTTTTTTGTTTTATTTCTATCTTACCGTTATTCATAAACTCATTCATGGATATTTCTGCCAATCACAGCGAGTGTAGTGAAATGAATAAGTAAATGAGTTAATAGATAAATATTCATGTTTCGGTGCTAAAAAATTATTAGATACGGTCCGTCAATTTTTGTGGTCCACTAAAGCCTAGAATGAACACTTTCTTTGAGATCCTATGTTACTTTAAAGTTTTCTAGGGTAAACCCAATGAAACTATGAATTTTTATTTGACCATTAGTGAAGTGTTGATGAAAAATGGGCAGTATATCTCAAAAAACTGCACTTCCTTATGTTGTATAATCCTACACAGGCGTGAAAGTAATTTATTATCTGATATATATACAAATGACATCAGCATTGTTTCGCATGAAAACCTTTAAAAAACATTTTCAAAAAATTCCGGAATAACCCAGATAAAACATCACATGTGTCCTCAAAGGATGAAACAAGCACTAAGTAGAAATCTATTTCTACGATACAGAAGAAAAATCACCGTTCTTTAAAGAATGAACATATAAATGCAACATGCAATAGAAAATTCAAATTAGAAATCAATAAAATCAATGAAACAACAATGATGATGATGATGTGTTGTACACGTGGATAAAGTATACTGTACGTTTAATAATTTTCTGGAAATTGTTTTTTCGCATTAAAAACTGTTTCAATGACTAGTAGAATAAGTTCCTGGTTAGCTAAAATGAATAAACTTGGTTTTGAACAACAATCAATATTGGTCGATAAATTGATAGATAATATTAAGATTCTGCGACCTCTGCGAGGCTTAAATATTCAGAATTATTCACATTTGACTGCTAAATTCAGCAAAAATCAAACTAGTACAAAAATAAGCGATGTGTTGTTAATTATTAGCCTTTGATTAGCTTTAATAAGTGCAGAGACGCAGAAAATGTGAACATCAGACGACAAAATGTTTGTCAAAATTAACAGCAAAAAACGCCGTATGAGACCAAACAAATAATTGAACATCGATAAAATACCCTGATTCAGGGCAACATCTTAATTCATTAGTTCTGGTGGTGGATTGTAGATGGTTTTCTCTTTATAGTAGACTTCTTCATGTTCTTTGTCGCAAATTAGTAATAATGAGGCACCAAATGTAAAAAGGGTGGCGCCCCAGGCAAGGCCATAAGACCAATCAACCTGGAATATGAAAATTTAGTAAAAAAACCTTAGAAATCCATATGAAATTTATAGAATCATCTCAAAAGATTTTATTGAGATTATTCTAAATTCTAGCATGCAGGAAAGTGCAAGATTCACTGTTTCCCAGGGTGTTGCAACCATGCCGCTATCTGCGCAATGCCTCGCCTATTGTTGCAAAAGGTTTAGTTAGTTTACATAAAGAAGAATGTAAATCGTCTGGATAAGACCCTTTCAGAACTGCAACTAAAAAGTGTTCATGATTTCACTTGATATCTTGATATCTACATGACATGGTTACGCATTCTTTTAAGGTTACTGTGTGTCGTTGTGAAGCCACTGCTAATCGAGAATGAGCTCCAAAATCGATACAAACAATCAGTACTTACCTCCCAATCTCTCCTTGATCCATACTCTTTCATCTTCACATAAAAGCATGCGGGGAATACAATCAACGCTGTCAACTCCAGTAGAACTGAAATAGAAACTTTTTCATTGATCGATTGATTTTTCACAAAATAAATTCGATATGAGGGATTAAGATTCCTAAAACAAGCCTTTTGTCAAATAAATTGGTAAATTTACCACAAACAGCACAAAGTTATCCATAACTTGATTTGACTGAATTTAGTGGCTTCCAAATAGCAACATCGTCAAAAAAAGGTCAGAAGGCAGTTTTAAGCTTTCAAGGAAAAACTCATTCCAAAGTTAATTATTTACAGATTTTATAAATTGACTTATCCTTACAATGTGTACTTATATGTGACGAAAATATTATTGCATTGTTTATTTACTCATATTGTTTACCTTCCCTAAAAACATACTGACCGCATAACCTGCGCTATTTACCATTTTTAGCTTCATATTTACCCCACTTCCCTAAACAGCTTCATACATCTCGTGTATGCGACTACGACAAACGATATAGTGAATAACAAGTGTTTGTTTGCTGAATCACCTGCAAGAATAGCCAAGTAGGTGGCAAACTTGTAGAATATGTACTTCCGTCGGATATCGGACTTGCTGAGACCACAAATATTGAGGAAGAATGCGACAGCTGTGAAGATCAGGGCGATAATCATCAGGGCAGCTACAGCTTTGATATAACCTAAATAGGAGAAATTTGTATTGTAGCAAAACAAGATTTTAGTGGTAAGATCTAATAGAAATTGTAAGATGAGTTTATCCTGAAGTGCAATCCTAATTCTCAACAAATCTCTAAGATCTTCA